GGGTGCAGGTGCACCGTGCTTCAGATACAGTATATATGTTAAAGGGAAACTGTATTTACTGTGACACTATACCATACAGTGATCTTGCTGCATATCATAGAGAAGCACAGGGAGCGATGACATCACTGGGACTTAAATCATGTATGTAATTAAAACTGAAATTAGCATATTAATGAGGGGGGTGGGGAGGGGAGGGGAGGAACCAGGGAAGGCAAAACATAAAGCAGATTAAACTTCAGCTTTCAGTATAAATGTATCTGCCCCTTAATGTTGGCGCATCCATGAGACGCGGACGCTCCGTAGCTGTGTATGTATGAGATGAACTAATGAATTCTGATCCGCGATGCTCGCTCCGGGGCAAAGACGGCAAAGCAGCATCCGCGCTGTAATTAACCGGAGAGAACACATTCCTGAACATCGGAGGAAGAACTCCGGGCATATGTACCAAGAGATCCCAGTCCGGACGCATGCAGAGCCTCCGAAACTCCGATCAGATGAAAAGGGAAATGTAACATACAGTCCGGAGTAACAGTCCGGAGTCACCCCCACTGAACACGCATTGATACTTTGTTTCTTTCTCTTTCAAAGTCTTTATTAGTTTTTTCCCCGATTCATATCAACAACATTTTTTTTTACATCAAATAACATGTGCAGCAGAACATTCCGTCAAATCATGTCATACATCCGCATTGTATCCCCCCTACCTCTTATTAACCCCGATAACAGTGTATCCATATATCCCGTGTAGCAAGGACACTCCACTGCAGTCCAGGTAAGTCAAGTATAATGCAGTTTATTAAAGGGCAAACACAAGATAGCAGCAGCAACATAAGACAGTCCTTTCTATGGCTTTCCACAGCCCCAAGACACTCACGCTGCTCACCCCTCGTGAGCCCTCACTCTCTTAGCAGTGTGTACCACAGGTCCTAGGGTCACCGACCTTCCTGACCTCTCCCCTCGTGGGCGCTCACTCTGCTCTCCCAGCAGTACGTCCGACAGGTCCCGGGGGTCACCGACCTTCCTGACCTCTCCCCTCGTGGGCACTCACTCTGCTCTCCCAGCAGTACGTCCGACAGGTCCCGGGGGTCACCGACCTTCCTGACCTCTCCCCTCGTGGGCACAGCAGTCTGTCCGACAGGTCCCTGGGGTCACCGACCTTCCTGACCTCTCCCAGCCACCCCTGGCTGTTCCGTGTGCGTCCAGCACGCACCCGAGTTTGTCCGTGTGCTCCCTGCACGCACACACAACTCCAACACTCCTCTGAGCACTGGGCTGGCTTCCTGATAAGGCCGCTCTCAGCCACTTGATCCAGCTATACTGGTCATTGGTAACACCCGGCCCCAGGACTGGAGATCTCACCCCACCCAGAGCTCTAAAGGTGTCCATACACTGCACGATTCTCGTACGAGAATGGCGGGAAATCCCGCGATCGTACGAGAATCGAGCAGTGTGAACGAAGACGTGCGACCGTTTCTACTGTACGGTCGCACGTCTTTTGAGCTTTACAACCCTCGCCAGACTAAGGTCTTGCGATGTTTGTACAGTGTATGGCCACCTTAAGATCATCTCCAGAGCTCCAGATCCCGGCTACATTTAGGAAAACTTGGAAGGACCTGAAAAGCCGGGCGCTTCCTTATAACATTGTTTATATTCTGGACCCTCTCAGTCCCCTTGGCTGAGAGTCCTGGGTGCCAAGGTCGCCATCCTCCACCGTGGCATTGGCTTACACTGCCACACCTGTTAACCATCTTCTTTTTATCTGGGGGCTAATAAATCATTCGTTACCTCCTATATATTTAAGAGATCGCCTTTGATACTTTGTTTCTTCGTATAAAGTCTTTGTAATTGAATTGTGCGTCCGTCACATTGCAGACAGTGCGGCTCACTGGGGGTATAACTGACCTATGGGAGGGGGGGGGGTCCCTTCTGTACGGGTCATTCTGTAGTCTTTGTAATCTGATCGCCCAGATTTTCGGGTCTACATATAAAACTGGGAGCGATAACATTTTCACATGTAATATTTCACACTCGTATTCATACCAGGGATGTACCGATACCAATTTCTCCAGAACAAGTACGAGTACCGATACTTTTCCTCAAGTACTCGCCGATACCACTTACCGATACTTTTTGCGTGTGTGCGTGTCATGTGACAATTCTTCTAATACATTGTACAGCAATGCAGAATAATACCATCAGCTACAGAGGACTACAACTCCCAGCAATACATTATACAGCAATGCAGAATAATACCATCAGCTATAGAGGACTACAACTCCCAGCAATACATTATACGGCAATGCAGAATAATACCACCAGCTATAGAGGACTACAAATCCCAGCAATACATTATACAGCAATGCAGAATAATACCACCAGCTATAGAGGACTACAAATCCCAGCAATACATTACAATACATTCCACCAGCAGTTGCAATGCTCCGGTAATATCTGTACACACGGCTCCTATTGTTACGCTATTGTTACGCTGACTCGGGAAACGCGTCTTGGGCCGGTGGGTTTTTGCTAACAAACGAGCACAGATACTTCATTAACACGCAGAACGCCCGCCGACCTCGCCGGCTTGTTTAGAAGCGTTCGACGCGCTGTAAAAATGATACGATTCAGCTTCTTTCCTCTCCGTCGTCCCCTCTCTCTCTCCGAGAAAAGCAACAAAAAGATTTATTCTCATGAAACGGTTCCCATTAATCTGACGGTTATAAATGGACGCCGAGAATTTGCGCACATATGGGACATAAATAATACTGAATCTTAAACAGGACGATCCATAATCATTTGCCGGCTCCGGGCTCCGTGTGAGACAACAGGAAGGAGGAGGCGTCTACGAGGGAACCGGACAGAGAAGGGAAACAGAAAGGACAACGTGATATCAATAGGGATCTATCTGTCATGTACGGGCCTGGTGACCCCCTCGACGACAAGGTTGGAGATATAGCCGGGGGCGGAGTTCTATCTCGGATATCCCGCACATGCGGACGCTGCTACATGTGGCCATCTAGTCATCACCGCAAAGGGTTAACGTCATTTCAAGAGGCGTTTTACTCTCTCATAAAATGATCAGCATCCTCCATTGAGAGACAACCGTTCCCCAATCAAGCTTCAGTGCTGCAAGCCATAGTCACATGATACTCGGGTAGGCATGGACCTCCATTGTCACTATGCAGCGGGACCAGGAGTGAGTGCATGTAGACAGGAAGGGGCTGGAGGAGATCGGCAGCACTGAAATGGCAATAAGGATACACAGTAAAGGAAACGATAACTAAACACGTTTCCCCGAATCAAAGGACGCTTCATCAGGACCTGCGTGGTAGGGGGAGCCTTACTGACTGAACAGAGGACAAAACCCCAAAGAAAGGAGACCGCAGGGGGTATAGAGAGAGTCCCGGGGCATCAGGAAACATGGGAGTCCAATATGTCTGATAACTTATATAGTGAGTGAAAGTCTCCATTAGACTTGTGCACCGTCAAAAATTTGTTCCGTTTCGTTCCGTTTCGGAATATCCGAAACTCAATTCGGATTCGTACGAAATACAGATTTTCGTTAGTTTCGGCACATTTTCGTGACTGTACGAACATTCGTTGTGATGAAGTTAAAAAGCAAAAATACCTTTGTTAGTATCGGAGTCGATGTGGTAGTTGTTTTTTTATCCGAAATACGAATTCCGTTAACGGATTCCGGATCCGAATTCCGTATTTCGGACTTAAAAGAAAAAACTCCCATCACCTCCAATATAAATGTATTTTGTTTTTTACCTTCAATATAACGAATGTTCGTAACGGAACGAAAATACGTCAACGGAATTTCGTATTTCCTGCCTGTGTATTGTAATGCGACTCTCAGCAGCAGCCGATCCGTATTTCGGATTAAAAAAAAAATCTTGTCATGTTGTTCCACATTTGCAGGGGTAATATTAGTTCCCGTTTCAAAGAAATTCGGATCCGAAATTCGCTAACGGAATTTCGGATTTCGGATATAATTCGGAAACTGCCATTCGGATTTCGGATGCTTCCGAATTTACGAATTTCAGGAAAATTAGTACGAATTTCGATTCGTAACGAAACGAATGGCACATGTCTAGGCTCCATTACAGAGGGGCCAAAAGAAGAACGTTCCATGTACTACTGCAACCCTCCACCAACACATCAAGGGGCAACCACCAACACACCAAGGGGCAACCACCAACACACCAAGGGGCAACCACGAAAACACCAAGAGGCAACCACCAACACATCAAGGGGCAACCACCAACACACCAAGAGGCAACCGCCAACACATCAAGGGGCAACCACCAACACATCAAGGGGCAACCGCCAACACACCAAGAGGCAACCACCAAAACACCAAGGGGCAACCACCAACACATCAAGGGGCAACCGCCAACACACCAAGAGGCAACCACCAACACATCAAGGGGCAACCACCAACACACCAAGAGGCAACCGCCAACACATCAAGGGGCAACCACCAACACATCAAGAGGCAACCTCCAACACATCAAGGGGCAACCACCAACACATCAAGGGGGCAACCACCAAGGGGCACACCAACACACCAAGGGGCAACCACCAACACACCAAGGGGCAACCACCAACACATCAAGAGGCAACCTCCAACACATCAAGGGGCAACCACCAACACATCAAGGGGGCAACCACCAAGGGGCACACCAACACACCAAGGGGCAACCACCAACACACCAAGGGGCAACCACCAACACATCAAGAGGCAACCTCCAACACATCAAGGGGCAACCACCAACACATCAAGGGGGCAACCACCAAGGGGCACACCAACACACCAAGGGGCAACCACCAACACACCAAGGGGCAACCACCAACACATCAAGAGGCAACCTCCAACACATCAAGGGGCAACCACCAACACATCAAGGGGGCAACCACCAAGGGGCACACCAACACACCAAGGGGCAACCACCAACACACCAAGGGGCAACCACCAACACATCAAGAGGCAACCTCCAACACATCAAGGGGCAACCACCAACACATCAAGGGGGCAACCACCAAGGGGCACACCAACACACCAAGGGGCAACCACCAACACACCAAGGGGCAACCACCAACACATCAAGAGGCAACCGCCAACACATCAAGGGGCAACCACCAACACATCAAGGGGGCAACCACCAACACACCAAAGGGCAACCACCAACACACCAAAGGGCAACCCACCAAGGGGCACACCAACACACCAAGGGGCAACCACCAACACATCAAGAGGCAACCGCCAACACATCAAGAGGCAACCGCCAACACATCAAGGGGCAACCACCAACACATCAAGAGGCAACCGCCAACACATCAAGAGGCAACCGCCAACACATCAAGAGGCAACCGCCAACACATCAAGAGGCAACCGCCAACACATCAAGAGGCAACCGCCAACACATCAAGAGGCAACCACCAACACACCAAGGGGCAACCACCAACACACCAAGGGGCAACCACCAACACACCAAGGGGCGGCCTCCCTCCTCCATCATATAATATCATCTTGTATGTACTCTCGTCTTGTTACATTACAATCTCCCTCATGATATTCATCTCCGGGACACACAGAGGGGCCCGCAGACCCGGCGCGGGTTGTTAGGAGTTAATGAGAACCTGAGTGGGGCCCCGGGAAAGCTGGCCGCCTCTGTAGGTTCTCGTTAGCGAGCGCGCTTAATGAAACCCTTGATCCATAGAGCCCCCCGGGGCCAGCTTATCTCTAGGAAGGGGGGAAGGCGGAGTGATGCCGGCATGTTCGCGGTGACATCTGCTCTGACAAATTGTTTGCACAAAATTTCCCGTTTTCGGAAGTGTTTATAGAGCCCCGGAGCGGAAATCCTTTTTGCTCTAATTCATTTCTCCATCTTTGCAGATTTCCACCTGCGGGGACGCGGAGGAAAGATATTTTTACCTCTGCATTTACCCGACTTCGCGATGCGTCGTCTTTGTCTTCACGCTCATTGTTCAGGAACAGTCAGTGGGGATTAAAGGGAACCTGTCACGGCCGGCTGTCAGAGAAGGAGATCTGAGAAGCGGAAAAGCCTCAACGTTGTCCCCGGTAGGCGACACAAGAAGTAACGCTGAGGTTAGGTGCACACCTAGGCGACACCTCACCGCGCACACGATTCCGTGCGGATTGCCGCGCGGCCAAGGCGTGAACCGATCGCGCTGTGGGCTGCCATTATTTTCTAACGGCACCCCAGTCGCGCCGGGCGGATTTTTCCGCCGCGATTCTGCACATGCTTCCGAAACACAGCCGCGCGTTGTGTATGGCAAAAAGACGGTACATGCCGCGCAGATGTCACCCCATTGGCTGCGCGGCAATCGCTGCCTGCGTTGTACAGGACCGCGTGATCCCAGGACGCGCGTCCCGGGTGTCGTGCGGTGCAGTGCCGGTGTGAACCTAGCCTGGACCCTTCCCGAGCCGCAATCCGTAATCCCCCGGTCACACCTGAGCGTTCCGTGCACCGTACACACATCACGTGCTCGCTTCGAGGCGCGTTCACACTTGCGGCGTCATCACTGGTTATTGGCACACGAGACGCCGACAGGAAAATGCACGTTTTTTGCCGCACGTAGACGGACGTTAAATGAGCCCCCAACGCGCGGGGAACATACACGGGGCGCGTGTAGCAGAATGGGCTACCTGAGCTACTTTCTCGCATTCGTCACGCGTGTGGCACCCGCTGAACTCATAGGGCAGCAAACACGGGAACGAACGCACACGGACGCAACGTGCGCTGGCTGCGAACTCCGTACGGCAGAAAGACTTTCCAACCGGCTCCTCCGATCAGCTGACCGGGGGACACAGAAGGATGCTGAGGGGGGCACTGAGGGAGGCGCAGTGTACAGCTTACGTGACGTTCAAAAAATGACCCGACCCCCAAAGCAGAGGCGGGCAAACTCCGGCCCTCCAGCTGCGGTGAAACTACAAATCCCATCATGCAGTTGTCTATGAGTGTCGTGCCTGTGGCTGTAAAGAACCTTGCAATGCCTCATGGGATTTGTAGTTCCACAACAGCTGGAGGGCCGGAGTTTGCCCTAAAGTCATCTTTTGGCCCCAACTGATTACAGTCCAAGGGCCAAGGCTTGCTGACCTGCCTGGCCCTCTGTCCCGGGATTGCAGCATGAACCTGTTTTGAGTGACTGCGACCCAAAAAGACATTCATGGTGGAGTGGGTGGTACCTGCATATTTAGAGGCGGGGTCTGGGTGGTACCAACCAATGGTTGATGATGTTGAGCATGATTGGCGATCCCCATATATATAGAGTTGGGGTTTGGTCAGGGCCAACCTGAGGAGTGGGTGCTATGTGGGCGCTGCCACCCAGAATCCGGGAGGATGAAGTGCAGACTGTGGGCGGAGTTCAGACGGTCCCATAATGTTGGTATTTTGGGTAAAGAAGGATGGAGGGGGACGGAAGACGCCACTATGATGTGGGGACAGCTGGGCCCTCATCTCAATCCCTAATGGCTCCTTCCCAGATGCCCATGTATGCAATGATGCCGCGATGCCCATGTATGAATGATGCCGGGATGCCCATGTATGCAATGATGCCGGGATGCCCATGTATGAATGATGCCGGGATTCCCATGTATGCAATGATGCCGCGATGCCCATGTATGCAATGATGCCGCGATGCACATGTATGCAATGATGCCGGGATTCCCATGTATGCAATGATGCCGGGATTCCCATGTATGTAATGATGCCGGGATGCCCATGTATGTAATGATGCCGGGATGCCCATGTATGCAATGATGCCGGGATGCCCATGTATGCAATGATGCCGGGATTCCCATGTATGCAATGATGCCGGGATGCCCATGTATGCAATGATGTCGGGATGCTCATGTATGCAGATGCCGGGATGCCCATGTGTGCAATGATGCTGGGATGCCCATGTATGAAAATATGCCGGGATATCCATGTATGCAATGATGTCGGGATGCCCATGTATGCAATGATGCTGGGATGCCCATGTATGCAATGATGCCGGGATGCCCATGTGTGCAATGATGCCGGGATGCCCATGTGTGCAATGATGCCGGGATGCCCATGTGTGCAATGATGCCGGGATGCCCATGTATGCAATGATGCCGGTATGATGACTGGCACAGGAAGTGGGGGGTGTCTGTGATTGACAGCCTGGCCTCATGATCTCTATACTGTGTGCGAGGAAAGATGGTGACCCCAAATGGGGAAGTCTCTGGGTCTCTGGAGGCTGAAGGAGTTTTGCTCATGAAGGACGTATTGTTCGGACCCCCC